GTTGCAGTGAGCCCAGATCACGCCACTGCACTCCAGCCTGGATGACAGAGCGAGACTCCGTCTCAAGGAAAAAAAAAAAAAAAAAGTCTGTTTTCTCCAGGGCCTCCCTGGGTGTACCCCCAGGGCGCCCGGCTCCTTCCCCAGGGTTCCTTCTTCGGCCCAGCGTGCCTTTGCTGCCCTCTAGCGGACGGCTTGGCCAAGGCCGCTGTCCCTGCGGAAGCGACTCCAGCATAACTTTCTACAAAATCAGTGCTTTCTGCACAAAAACAAATATCATGCTTGAAACTGTTAAGCTTGCAGAAAACTGATTCATATCCTATGCAAATCAGTTTTGTGCAAGCTTGGCAGTTTCAAGCATATTTGTTTGAATATATATCACATATTTGAATAGGATACAATGTTTGGAGGAGATTTAAATAGAAGCTGTGGGTTCCCTGGTCCCTTCTACCCACATCGGCCTGCTTGTCTGCTGGTGGCCCTCTCTGGTCACACTCTGTTGCAAGTGGTGGGGATGTAGGGCCCAGCCCAAGAGATCTTCCCTGCATGGGGACGGGGACGGGGAGGCCCCATCTCAAGCCACAGATTCTAAAGACAAGGGGTGTTTCCGAGGGAGGTGTGACGCGGGAGTGGTGCGTACCACGGGAAGGAGCCTGCTCTGCTCCAGGACCCTCGGGGGCACCGTGGATGGACCATGGGGTGACAGAGCCTTGCCAGAGGTCAGGATCATCTTTGGGAAAGGGCCAGGTTGTGTGGAGAGAGAGGGCAGCACTGGCTTGTCCAGGGTAGTGGCAGTGGGACAGGAGACTGTGAGCCCGACCACGGGCATGTGGAGGCCATAGTGGGGATTTGCGGAGAGCCACTTACAGGGAGGAGATGGGTTCCTTTCGAGGTGCGGCATCCAGGGAGAAGCAGCAGGCTGCTGGAGTCCCATGGCGACCCCTCTGACTCAGGCAGGCGTGACTGTCTGGTCAGGACACCCCGCACCTCCGCTCCTCTCCTGAAAATCTGGAAACAAGATGAGTCCTGTCCCAGGGTCACATGGTGGCTCTGAGTAAACTCAGAGGAGTGGGCTTGCCACAGCCACCCTGGCGTCCTCCTCCCACCTGGGCATTGAGCAGTGCTGGTACACCTGGTGGCCAGCCCAGGACCACCAGGCACGGAGGCCCTACAGGGCAGAGCTGGCCTGCCCTGCTGTGGAGTGGCCCTAGAGTGAGAAAGGCAGATGGGCCCGGATTCCCTTACTTCAGTCCCTGCAATGGCTCCCTGCTGCCCAGGGAGAGGCCCAGACCCCTGAGAGGGGTCTCTGTTTAGTCTTCCAGTCCACCCTCCTCCACTTCACACTGTATGCTGGCAGACAGGAACTTTGTTTCCCAAAGGCTCCTCCTTCTCTTCCATCTGCCTGACCTTCTTTTCCTCTACTACTGTCTTGGCTGCCTCCTAACATCTTTCAGGTCACAGCAGGCATGTAACCTCCTCCAGGAAGCCTTCCTTGATTCCCTCTGTCCTTGCCCATTCTTGTCTATCCCTTGAGAGCCAGAGGAGGCCTTGGTCAGTGGTGTGTTTTCAAGGGAAGGGGGCCGATCAGTTTGTGGAATGATTGAGGAAGGAGGCCCTGGTCTGGACTCGGGAGCCTGTGGCCGGGTCATCACAGCTGGGCCTGCACTAGAGCCATGGCACGTTGGACGCAGGGCCGCCCAAGGCTGTCCCAGGGAAGGGCTCTGCATCCTGGTGCTCCTGCAGGCCGGGCCAAAGCTTCTCAGATGGGGCTGCTGCTGTCTGCTGAGAGAGGACCTGAGGCCCCTCCTGGGAGGGCAGTAAAGGCACGCTGGGCCGAAGAAGGAACCCTGGGGAAGGAGCTGGGCGCCCTGGGGGTACACCCAGGGAGGCCCTGGAGAAAACAGACTTTTTTTTTTTTTTTCTTGAGACGGAGTCTCGCTCTGTCATCCAGGCTGGAGTGCAGTGGCATGATCTGGGCTCACTGCAACCTCCGCCTCCCGAGTTCAAGTGATTCTCCTGCCTCAGCCTCCCCAGTAGCTGGGATTACAGGCTTGTGCCACCACGCCCGGCAGAAAACAGCCTTGGTTTTGCAGCTTGGGCTGGCTAGGCTTTGACCGCGTTCTCCACGTCCTCTGCTTGTGCCGTAGGTATTACTTTTTGGTGTACAATGCATCAGTCCTCTACTGGCAGATGGTGAGGCCGTTCCTTGAGCCTGGATATCGCCACCATCTGATCCCCAGCCTTTCCCAAATTGTAAACGTGCTGAGTCAGACCGAGGAGGAAGACAAGGAGTGGCACGCCGAGCTGATGCTGTGAGTTGAGCTCGCCGTGCCCTCCGTGGCCTCCCAGTGGGCTGCCCTCCGACTCTGAGGCCACCACCCCTTCTCCTGGCGGGGCGGATGGGAGTTCCACATCACTGGGGCACACTCCGTGTGCGTTTTCTCCCACAGTCACAAGTTTCTGTGCGTCTTGTCCGAAGGTTGTTTCCAAAATCTGTAGATGACGTTTGCCGTGCCCTGGTTATGAGGTTATGACAACAGAACAAGATACTGTGTTTAGACTCACGGCAAAGCAGATGTGACCCTGCGCCACCCAGCCTGGCTCCCGATTTTAAAATCTTAGCTCTTAAAGTATTAATGCAGTAGGTGTTTTAACAGCATAAAACTAAGTGGAGTCAGCATGTCTGGAGCCCAGGCGGCCCTGCGAGGAAGCTGGGGCAGCACGGGGCAGGCCGGCCTTGCCTGGCCTTAGCCCTGAGGGGTCACTGCAGACTGTCACCAATGCCTCGGTCACTGTGCTGGGCGGCGGAAGGAAATGGGCCCGAGTGTCTGTGGAGCTCTCTGTGCAGGCCAGGGACGGGTGGATGTCCCCAGTGAGGATCCCAGCTGTGCCAGCTCCAGAGTGGTCCTCCTCAACCCCGAACCCAGAGCCTGCAGGTGTGGGTTACCTGCCATATGGCCTTTTGGGGAACCTTTGAAGAATATCAGTACAGATCTTTCATTTCAAAATGCCCCGGTGCTAGCGGTAACGAGCTGTCTGGCGCCTGCTGGCCGTTCCCGGTGAGCCGCACGGCCTGGTTCTGGCTGAAGAAGCTGACCGCGGGGTAGCTTTTAAAGTTTGTGAAACACAAAATATATAATGGTTTAATAGCCTGGTTATTAGAGAGGAGAAAACAGTTTCAGCCAGGTTGACCAGTGGCGTGTGTCTATTATCTAGGGAACTTCTCGAGTGTTATCTGCAAGCCGGAAGAAAGGAGGAGGCTGCCAGGTTCTGCTCCACTGCAGCTCCGTTCATCAAGTCTCACGTGCCGCAGAAATACCGGCAGATGTTCTCCGTTATGGTAAATCAGCGTATTAGAAATAGAGACGTAAGAAGTACTTTTTCTTAAAAGTCATTGTTGAGAAAACTGCATAGAAATTACATAAGTTTGCTGAGAGATATAAAAATATATATGTATAGATACATGAACAAAAATATATAAACATATTAAAAAGAAATAGCAGTTCATCCAACGTATAGAACTGTGACATTTTGAAAGCAAAACAGGGTCTTTTGCCTTTTTCATCGCTCTTTGAATTTTTCCTTTGTAATAGCTTTGAATTTTTTTGAAGTTAATAGAAAATTCACAAAGATACAAGTAATTACTACAAGAATATGTACCAAAAGCATTCATCAGTGATTCATTTTGACATATGGGGAATCAGCTTAAGTTGTATCTGAAAAACTAGATACAAAATTTAATTAATGAGAAAGTAAAATCTAGACACAAAATCTGAACCTCTATCTAATTGTTTGAATCCAGATTAATAATCTCTTCCATTTTATGACAGGTTCGTCATGAATTAATGGACGAACTTCAGTTAAAGGAAGAAAAGAAAAATTCCATTAGCCTGTCAGTCACTTTCTATATTAATATGCTAAAAGCGTAAGTCATTTTGGGAGGGAGAGTTTCACAAGTGCTGGGCTTGGGAGCGCTCTGTCCCCTCCATGGGGGGAGGTGCTGTGTCCAGGGGCCTGTGAGTCTGGAGTTGCAGTGAGTGGAGCTGGAGAGTGGGAGCCTGGGACTCCCCAGGGTGTGGGGATCCGAAGGCCACCCCCAATCCGTGGCCCTGCCTCCCTCCCAGCACGGAGGAGAGGCCAGTGAGGCCACAGAAGGGAGAGGGCGGCTTTAAGCCAAGTGCAGAAAGAGCTTGTAGGAGGAGATCACGGTGTGTTTGGATGCCGAGGGGAGTGAGGAGATCACGATGTATTTGGATGATGAGGGGAGTGAGGAGATCATGGTGTGTTTGGATGCCAAGGGGAGTGAGGAGATCGCGGTGTGTTTGGATG